ATTTTGCAGTAATTTACCCCAAAGAGTTTACTTTTCCACAAAAGCTGTGGCTGAGTGAGACGTTTTCATAAAGGATTAAATTAAAAAACACTGTACTGACAAAATAATTTACTTGATAATACAGAAAAACACCAATACATTTCCTTATATTAACTGAATGTAGGAATTTGCTACTTTTAAGGTATGTAGCCTAACCTTGTTCAAAATCAATTCTTAAATAACTCCCAAGCCATCTATGAAAGTGAATTGCATTTGATTACAACATGGTGGAGTAGATTTTCAAACACAAACTTCCGCCTGTTTTCAGCAAGAATGCATTTGTACTGTGAAAACACTCATTCAACATTGTACGAAACGATAGGAGCATACTGTAACTTAACTATGTCTGACAGCTCAAGTTCTCCTTGAGTGGTAGCATCAAGAGAAGAATTGCTTTGCAATATATCACTGATTTTCTTCAGTCGGCTATAACCTTTGTTTTTAGCAAGAACCTGGCTGATTTTTTCAAAGTAGTAATCCTTCTTCTCAAGGTGACTCAAAGAATCAACAACTCCTTGTACTACATCCATGCTGCTCTTTAGAGTTAGTCCTTTTTTTCTCCAACTTGAGGATTGCAGAGGAAATACATGCTAGGTTGGCTCTGAGGAAAATTAGATCCTCCCGCAAGCTATCCTTCTTGAGTACATTTTGTGCCTCCTTCATATGTACAGATGCTGTGGGATCAAATGATTCAACTACACACTTGACAGTTTCAAAATTGTCAGCCTAGTACAATGCTGCCTCGATCCAGTTGCCCCATCTAGTCACTACTGGTGAAGGAGAAAGTGGCACAGTACCAGCAATTTGTCGAAATCTCTCTTTGCGACTCGGTGCTTTCAGAAATACATTCACAGTAGAAATCAACACATTCACATCAGGCATAACTGCACAAGCTAATTCAGCAACCCTGTGCAAGCCATGGGCTAAACAAGTCACATGAATCATTTTTGGAAACAGAATTTCTAGTCCTGCCATATATGGGGCTGCATCAGTGCATACAAGAAGTACACGATCATACTTGATGCCATCCTCCCATAATAATCCCAAGGCATCAGTGAAAAATGCTGCCATGGTTGAGTGATTTACCTTATCTAAGACCTTCAAATTAAGCAAGTATGATTTGTCCCTTTCTTCTGGCCCCAAAGTGCCAAATACAAAATTTGCAACGCATCTTGCATCTGTGGTCTCATCCAGTGATACCCAGGTGGAATTATCACCTACCTTCTCTCTATCTAAAATTTCATTGTAAAGATCAGGAACATAATTTTTTCTCAGTGTTGATTCACTTGGCACTTTTTGATCCGTGTACTTCTCTAAGAATGAGACCAGTTCCTTGTTGTTCAGCTTATTCAATGGTATATCAGCCGAGACCAAGGCTCTACAAAGATCTTGATTAAACCGAGAATGTTTTGACCCAGGCCGAGACAATGTTGTGGGTAGCAGTGCCTGTTGTTTGGCACTCGTTTTGGCTTCTTTTTTCATGGCATGCTTTGCAGTTTGAATATGTTGCTGCACTTGAAATTTCTTGGATGAAGAAACCACGACCTCACAGTATTTACAAAGTAATACTTGGCCATCGGTGGTGAAATCATTGGATACATTTACCAGTGCATTAAGAGTACTGGAGAGCAATTTCTTAATCATAGGCATCTTGCAGTGCTCAGCCTGAAACAAAACAAATGCACGTTCTGTATTTCCAAAGCCAATCTCACTAGGGCCTATCTTTTATTCCTGTAGCTTAAGGATGTAGGCCTCCTTTTAGGCTAAAACCAAGTGATTTACCATATATACCCGTGTATAGTACGAGTTTTTAAGACCAAATTTTTTGGCAAAAAGTTGGGGGTTGACCTCTATACTGGTAATAGTTTCGTTCGGTTGAAAAATTTACCATTAACTGCCAGTAAACGATGGAAACGACGCACCACCAGCTGTGAGTGTCGGTATAGTTGCCAGGGCAGATCTCATTAGCCTCATAATCCCACAACGAGTCGTCTTCTTTTCCATCAAGAGCATTCGAAATCCCACATTTCTTAAGATTTCACCACAATTTCTGGTCTGATTGCATCCCAGGCCTCTACAATCCATTCACATAATGTTGCTCGTGATGGAGCTTGGCTGTTGCCTCCCTTTGTGTATGTCTTATCGCCTTCTATCATCCAGTTGTTCCACTTCACTCTCACCGCATCTTTAAATGGTTTGTTTATGGAGACATCCAGTGGTTGGACAAGACTTGTTAATCCACCAGGAATCACAGCTGTATCAGTGTTTTCCTTCCTAATCCCAGCAGTAACACTGTCAACAAGATGTGACCGAAACATATCCCACACAAGAAGACTTTTCTTTGCGCAGTCCCCCTGGTCTAAAGTTCCAGACTTTTTTAAGCCATATTTGTATGCCGCCTTCATCCATCCATCCTTTCTCGTGCACATGGATGATTATACCTTTTGGAAAATTTTGCTTTGGAATTGTTTTCCTTTTAAATATTACCATAGGCGTCAGCTTTGTGCCGTCAGCCATACATGACAGCACAACTGTGAATCTTGATTTTTCATGTCCAGTAGTTTTAACTAAAACTGTTTTTTCACCAACTTTATTCACTGTTTGACTGATTGGCATATCAAAATTCATGGGCGTTTCATCCATGTTTCCAATACACGAAAGTCTATGAGTTGTTCTTCCGGTGTTTGATTATGAACCTATGAAATTCAATAACCTTGTCATCAAGTTCTTGTGGAAGACGCTGTGATATTTTCGTTCTCCGTCTCAGTACAAAATCATTTCTTTTCATAAATCTTGTGCACCAACCATGACTCGCCTTAAAATCTGTGATGCCTAGTTTTCTTGCTAGTTTCAAGGCAAAGATTCGAATTGATCATCGGGAAACACCATATCCATTCTGTCGGTTTTCACTGACATACTTTGCCACTTCAACTTCCAACTGTGGCCACTTGTTACACTTTCCTCTGTTAGCACATTTGTTTTTCGGCAAAAGTTTAATTTGTGCAGAGAGCTTTTTCCAGTCTCTTAACACTTTTTTCGGAAACCTTGAATTCCCTTGCTGCTGCACAGTTGTTAGTCTGTTCTGCATATTCAATCACTCTCCGCTTGAACATTGCTGTGTACGTATTGCAGTGGAAAGTGGGATAAAATCGTGATGAAAACAGTGACTTTCGTTTTCTTTCGTTCAAAATGTTACCGTAATCGCTTTTCGAATGGTTTTCAGTTAAAAAACTGTTGTATTACAATAATATTCCCTCCTAATTGACTTGAATAAATACTTGAATGGAAGTATACAATATTTTTGTTGAAACTACCCGCGTTTCAGTGTAAAGTGTCGTAATAATAAATGGTAAACAAGTTTATAGGACGTAGTGTTTTTCTGAAGGTTTTGTTGTTCCTTTACCCTCAAAAACTTGGGTCGACCTATAAACGAGGAATATCATAAATTAATAATTTCTTGGTAAAAAAAATCAGGGTCGACCTATAAACGATGGGGGGTTATCGACGAGTATATACGGTAATTCATCTGAGGGAGGATTCGCATGGTGTCTTTATAAGAGTATGCTTAAAATAAGAGAAGTTTCTGATTTAAATACCCCAACATTATTAAAAATACAAGCAAAACAAAGTGATGATTTCAGTGGGAAGATGAGGGATACAGAATTCACACAGCTACTGTACCTGCTCACCAGGAAGCACAGACAGAACTGATGGAGCCTGACAGTAACAACCCTCTGTACCCTGGTGCGTCACATGTCCGATGCACGAATCAATCGCGTACAGTTGTCCCGCGTTCACTGACCAGCAAGTTACAGCCTAGCCATCCACAGGCTATTGAGCTATATAGACGTCACTATCTATGGCCCTTATGATTATTATGAAACTTATGAGTAAATTATGACAAAGTACAATAATATATATATATATATATATAATATTTATCAATTTATTATAAATACCAAAGAACGTTTCAAGAATATCCTGTATGAAAAGAAGTTACAAATATGCACTTGGGCTCAAAAATAGCTAAAATATGCATTTGCATATGCACATATGCAAATTCATAATTATCCTAAGCCTAGTCATTACTCTCGCCTCTTGGGAGCAGAAGTAATGCAGCAGTAGTAAGTAAACAATAAACCTCCATATATGCAAAATAGTTAGTCGACCTGTAAACGACTATGCATAAAGCAGGGGTCGCTTGTACAGAATTAATAAGTGTGTGGAATTTAGCCAGGGCACTATCACCACACTATGAAAGTGGGAGACTTGGGATCCAGGTCTAGATGTGCTGGTTTTGAGTAGTTTCTCCATGATGGTCGATATTCTTTTGAAGATAAGTTGAATAAATTGATGTGGGATAGATTAAACAAGCTTTATTCAACTCTAACATCATATCTCCTCTGCCTTCATCACCTTCTGAGGTAGAACCCTTTTCAATTTGTTGAATTTGTGAGAATGTCCAATACATGTCAGCCCCCCACCAAAGAGGACCTCTGGCAACATGGATATTTCAGGTGCCTCAAATAAGTCTTCAAAGGACCATTTCCTGCTTGATGTTAAGCAGCACCCTCCCTGATGGTTTCACTTGAACAGACAAAGTGTACTACTGTATTGGTGAGCCCTGTGAGAAGGTGGGGTGGGCTACCCTACCTCCGAATAAAAGTTGGGTTGATTGCTAGATAAACTTTTTCCAATAATATATGGTCTAAACCACAGTATATTTACCAATTAAATTTTATGTAGAAATGCTCTACAGGAATCATGCCTAACAAATGTAAGGATTTCTGGTCCGAGTTTCTACAGGATTATGGAAAATTATACCCTGTATATAAACCTGTTGTAGGGTCTGTAGGAATACAGTATGACCCTGTGGAATGGAACCAGTTTATTTTGGGTTGATGCAACTCGCTGATCTCTCACACCAGTACAGTATTGTGAAGTGAACCTTTTTATTACAGAGGGTGTGATGGTGGCCGAGCGTGACCTCTTTATGCCAAAGCACCCAGAACTCGAGAAGATCCCAAACCTACACGTTATTAAGGCCCTCCAGGTGAGATATGGTCAGTTGTATGTGGATAGTACCATTTTATTTCTGCAGTGGTTTTAATTCATGGTGTCTTTGGCCAGGAAAAAAAAATATTGTTTTTGTAGCGAATTCCTTCATCATTGATGAAAGTTGGTTAGTTTTTCTGTTGGTGCCTCGGATTTACCTTTATATTAATTATTCTTGATAAATACTGTATTGTATTTAGATTCTTTGTCTGTTCCACTCTTGTGAAAAATCTATTTTTGAAAAGGACACCCAGTACAGTATAAGCTATTTAGTTGTTGGTTAGTCTCTCTCTCTCTCCAGCACAATAATATTTATTGGTGTATGTTTGTGTAATTGCATTTTCAAAGTTATTAACTGGTGAACCCTTGTTGAGATGGCCTTTAATGTGGGATTTCCAGAGTTTGAAGTCCCGAGGCTATGTGGAACAGAACTTTGCTTGGCGCCATTATTACTGGAGGCTGACTAATGAGGGAATCCAGTACCTGCGTGATTATCTTCACCTTCCTGCTGAAGTCAGTAAAGCCTTGTTTGTTACCTTATGTTGAATACTGTTAAAATGTTTAAGATAAGGGATGGGTCTTGTAATTAACTCTACTGTAAAGTGAAAAACAATGGTAACCTGCAGGACCGTGCACAGGATCTGTCGGATGGGGGGTAGTTGAGAGTTTGCAAAAAGGGCATCACCCTCTGAGGGGGAGGCAAGCAAAGCGAGCCTTTACTGTTATTAATTGTGGTGTCATTGCCACTGCTTTCTGATAAAGCTGACTGGAAATAGACCTAAGCTGAGGATTAATGTATAAATTATTGTTTCTTATCATGAGTCACTTGGGATGTAAAGAATAAACTGGCTGTCTTGTAATTTTGTGTAACTTATTAACTAGAGCTGTTAAATTAAAAATGAATGGTTGCATGTTCCTCCTCTGGGCTAATGTACTGTAACAGCACTAAGTAAAGCAAATTCTTGCAGATTGTACCAGCAACCCTAAAGAAGCCCACTCGTCCAGAAGGTCGACCAAGACCTCTGCACAGTCGTCCTGAAGGGCCACGTGGAGAAGGTTCTCGTGATGCTTACCGGCGAGCTCCATCGGGTATTGATAAGACTGGTGATGCTGGTGCTGGATCAGCTCCCATGGAATTCGTGAGTATCAGCATTATATAAAGGGAAGAGTTGTTGGCCATTCTATAAAAAGGGGGAATTATTCGGAGCATTTGCATTAAAAGATACGAATGACATTGTGGTTGTTTTCTCAACCTCCGCACTGTACTGTACATAGAAACTATGGAGTTTTATACTGTGCATGAGGTGAGTGGAAAATGTGATAATATACATGATTGGTTTTTGTATTTGATAAAAATAGTCTAATGGACAGAAATCGGTATATTTGTAGTCACTCCTATCTTTCCTATTTTCAGCGTGGTGGATTTGGTCGTGGCACCAAGAGGCCTCAGTAAAGTGTAAATAAACAAGAAAAAAAAGGACAGCCTTCCTTTCCTTTAAATTCCTTGGGGATATTGTTACTTTAGGTTGGAGTGTTTATAAGATAATGGAATTATTGATACATTTAGGTGTGAAGTTTGCTAATTTAAATGTAATAGGGTTAGGAATTGTTTTTGTACTGTAACAGTGCATTGGCAAGTAATGATGGGAGTGTAGACCTATAATTTCATATTAGTATTCTGGTATTCTGCAAAAATATTGCAGTGTTTTGTGATGAACTTGAGAGCTTTGTAATGGAAATATTAAAAGATTCAGCACTATCTACTTTCATAATTGTTCATTCACACAGGTGGTAACTTATATAAAGAATCCACCGAGTCAAGATCTTCCGAGTTTGGGAATTTATGATGTAGTAGATATAATTTGTTTCATTGTATATTATGTTGGAGGGGGGTATGAGAAGAATTATCCTCTTGAAAGAAATTATGAAAATTTGGTTTCCCCAACAGTAAAAAAAAAAAAGGGTACTGGGGGGGGTGAATGTTCTTGGCACACGAGTTCAGCAATATACAGTAAGTGGGTGGTGTTCCCATTATTAAGTTGTAATATTTTGAAATTATGGCAGAAACACTTTGGTTTAAATTGAAAGCAAATAATCCTGCTTAGGTTCTTGTTTGCTCCACAGCCCAAGAATGAATGTCAGGTTCTACCCACAACTGAAAAATAACAATGCAAATTTGGTTTCCTCTTGAGGTGGCGGTATTCTTCATAAGTTCCAAGGTGAGGGAATGTATCAATTATTATAGATGATTAAATGATTCTAGGGAAATAATACAAATACTTTACATTTCAAATACCAATATATCGACACATCCACAAGCTTTAAAATGTTGGAGGTAATGCTGATGTTTTTGCCTTATGTAGGGAAACTATTATACAGGTACTGTACTAAGGAATGATGGTGAATGAGGTCTAAAATACCTTATAGTTTGGTAAGACAAGTGAGGTTTAGAGTGAGTCACTGGGTAAAATCTCCTGTGCTGGGGGGGATGTTGAGAAGAACTGGTACAACTCCAAGATTGACACCATTAATCGAGTCACAGTACAGAAGTCAGCTGACCTGGGAGAGCTAGTGTGGAATTAACTGGTAATATGGGAGGTGTACTGTATCTTTATTTGTGGCATGAATGGAATTCCATGCATGTCTTATCATAGATGTATGGCCAAAATTCATGCAAGAATAATTGAAGGCTTTTTGAAATTTTTGTCAAAATGACATTAATGGATGGAAACTTCTCACAGTAGATAAAAAAAATCCTGACTTGTTCATTAAGTATAGTACCTGTACTATAGAATTTTTTCAATTACAGAAACCACGCGATTCAACTGATCGCGTGATGCAAACAGAATGCTGGTGTAAACTGTTATTAGTCCGCACTGTGTAACCCTTTTTTTTTTACTTATTCTTTTCATACAGTATTTATGGGTAACAGCTAAATTTGCAAAAAATAAAGAAAATTTTTTACTGAGTACCTCTCAAAAAAATACTTCACAATCAAAAAGAACGAATCAATTGAACATGTGATGTTGAATGTGAACTGTAAACATAGCATAACCCTATGCCATGCTACACTTAAAACATTGAGAATGGAATCGCGTTATAGCCAACATTCGTATGCAAAAGTTCTTGTTTCACAAACACCGTTCCCCTATTCATCAATCAAGTTAAAACCAATTTGCGTTGACAAAACACGCGTTGCAGCAGAAATGACTACAGTACCCTGCCACAGTGCAGTATAATGGTTGGTCAATGGCAGAATGCAATAGGGAACATGTTTAAATGTTATTAATTTTGTTGGGTAGTAATTTTAGTCATACCTAACCAATGACCTCACACTGTTTTATTGATCTGTTGGCAGGTAAAAGAAATCTGAAGTTGTCGTGTTTATGCCACGATGTGCTGTATATACGTACTGTTGCTGCTTGAATGAGGTAAGTTTATGCATATAAATGCCTTTTTCCGAGCAGTGATTTGGGAGATGGTTAGTTAGGCTGGGAAGGGTGACTTCTGGTGAGCACTGGGATGGGGGGGGGGGTAATCTACAGTACAGGTGAAGAGCAGAGGCTAAAATTGCAATTGGTTTCCACTACAATGTTGATTTCTAGGTTTATCTTTTCCTTGGTTAACGATTGAAGGAATTATAATATACTTCTGATGCTTTGACTCTCTAAATTTAATCTTGGCATGAAGTAATAGAGAATGTGTCTTGTTGGAGGTGTGGGGGTTTAACTATAGGTATATATATTTGATATGATCTCAGAAGAGGAATGTATTTGTATGGCTAATGAATATATTTTGTCTATGGCAGTCAGAACATTGGTGGTGTATTGGTCCCAGTTAGTTTACAAGATAAAAATGGCACTGCAAGTTGCTGAGTGAGACTGTAGAATTGCCTGTACTTATAATTATAGAAAGGTGGGGCTAGAGTTGAAGAGGGGGATGGGAGATCAGTGGTGTCGATGGGGAGATCAGTGGTGTCGATGGGGAGGGGGCAACTTAGGTCACTGGTGTAGAGGGAAGGATTGGTGAAAGGAACTAGTACTGCTCCAGGATTGACACCATTAATCGAGTCACAGGACAGAAGTCAGCTGACCTGGGAGAGCTAGTGTGGAATTAACTGGTAATATGGGAGGTGTACTGTATCTTTATTTGTGGCATGAATGGAATTCCATGCATGTCTTATCATAGATGTATGGCCAAAATTCATGCAAGAATAATTGAAGGCTTTTTGAAATTTTTGTCAAAATGACATTAATGGATGGAAACTTCTCACAGTAGATAAAAAAAATCCTGACTTGTTCATTAAGTATAGTACCTGTACTATAGAATTTTTTCACCACATAAGGCACATGGTTAGAAGATCTTAAAAGTACACTAATGGTTTTGGGATTTCCTATACAGTCATTTTTTTCTACAACGCGATAGTTGCGTTCATGTGAAGCCTTGCGCTGTAGAAATTTTCACAATAAAAATAACATGGCTTATGGAGAAAATAGGGTTAGGTGCAGATTACTTTGGCCGTGATCTCAGATTTGCTAAAGCTTGTTCCAGCAATAGTGTGACAGCCTTTCCTTTACGTTCACCACTGGCAATTCAATCATCAGAACGCTTCTTGGAAACATTCTACCTACCTCGTCTTTCCATATTCATGGCTAACAACAAAATTGGAGAAAATAACAAAAATTACAGACACTTGACAGAACAATCGACAGAAACCACGCGATTCAACTGATCGCGTGATGCAAACAGAATGCTGGTGTAAACTGTTATTAGTCCGCACTGTGTAACCCCTTTTTTTTTTACTTATTCTTTTCAAACAGTATTTATGGGTAACCACTAAATTTGCAAAAAAAAAGAACAAAATTTACAGAGTACCTCTCAAAAAAATACTTCACAATCAAAAAGAACAAATCAATTGAACATGTGATGTTGAATGTGAACTGTAAACATAGCGTAACCCTATGCCATGCTACACTTAAAACATTGAGGATGGAATCGCGTTATAGCCAACATTCGTATGCAAAAGTTCTTTTTACAAACACCGTTCCCCTACTCATCAATCAAGTTAAAACCAATTTGCGTTGACCAAACACGCGTTGCAGCAGAAATGACTACAGTACCCTGCCTCATTGCAGTTTAATGGTTGGTCAATGGCAGGATGCAATAGGGAACATAATTAAATGTTATTAATTTTGTTGGGTAGTAATTTTAGTCATACCTAACCAATGACCTCACGCTGTTTTATTGATCTGTTGGCAGGTAAAAGAAATCTGAGGTTATCGTGTTTATGCCACGATGTGCTGTATGTACGTACTGTTGCTGCTTGAATGAGGTAAGTTTATATATATGAATGCCTTTTTCTGAGCAGTGATTTAGGAGATGGTTAGTTAGGCTGGGAAGTGTGACTTCAGGTGAGCACTGGGATGGGGGGGGGTAATCTACAGGTGAAGAGCAGAGGCTAAAATTCCAATTGGTTTCCACTACAATGCTGATTTCTAGGTTTATCTTTTCCTTGGTTAATGATTGAAGGAATTATAATATACTTCTGATGCTTTGACTCTAAATTTAATCTTGGCATGAAGAAATAGAGAATGTGTCTTGTTGGAGGTGTGGGGGTTTAACTATTGGTATATATGTTTGATATGATCTCAGAAGAGGAATGTATTTGTATGGCTAATGAATATATTTTGTCTGGCAGTCAGAACATTGGTAGTGTATTGGTCCCAGTTAGTTTACAGGATAAAAATGGCACTGCAAGTTGCTGAGTGAGACTGTAGAATTGCCTGTACTTATAATTATAGAAAGGTGGGGCTAGAGTTGAAGAGGGGGATGGGAGATCAGTGGTGTCGATGGGGAGGGGGCAACTTACCGGTAGGTCACTGGTGTAGAGGGAAGGATTGGTGAAAGGAACTAGTACTGCTCCAGGATTGACACCATTAATCGAGTCACAGGACAGAAGTCAGCTGACCTGGGAGAGCTAATGTGGAATTAACTGGTAATATGGGAGGTGTACTGTATCTTTATTTGTGGCATGAATGGAATTCCATGCATGTCTTATCATAGATGTATGGCCAAAATTCGTGCAAGAATAATTGAAGGCTTACTGAAATTTTTGTCAAAATGACATTAATGGATGGAAACTTCTCACAGTAGATCAATAATAAAGTTTCCTGATTTGTTCATAAGTATTGATTAAGCAGAAATTATACTACAGTATAAACCCTTGCCATTCGTGAGGATTAGGTTCCAAGGATTGTTGCGAATTGGCAAAACCGCGAAAAAAAGCTTGTACTACCTTGGTGCACTAATGTATATGTATACTGTGAATGAGAAATTTTAGTCACCAATATTACTTGCCTTCGTTTGTGGACGTTTAGAGCTTGATGAAGGGGTGTACTGTACATGAGGAAAAAATCTGGTAACTGAAGCATGGGAGATCATCAGGATTACTGTTAGAAGAGGGTGATGCAGTGGTGTTTGCT